AATCAGAATAAAGGAAGCCCTGCCTCTCAGGGCACCCAAATGATAAAGCCAAGGTGGAACTGGTCATCTGGACTGTCAATCATTTTGGGTATAAAGGAGGAGGTGGAGCTGCTAAAAATCAGAGAAGTTTTGGTCCTCCCCTGACTTTCTCAGTCCCGCCTATCCTAGTCCCTGCTCTCACCACCCACCTAAGGTGGGGAGAGGCCCCCAGATCTGTTGAGATGAAGAAGACTTCACCAGCAGAGGGCTGATAATATTAGATTTTTACTTAATAGAATCTTGAATGAAAAACAAAGAGTTTATTTTAAACACTTTATAATAAATGTCTGTCTCTTGACATTCCAAACCTTTTACTGAGTATCCTTTGAAAATAATATACATTTTGTGAGTGGCAGGGATAATTTTTGGCCAAAAACACTCCTGACACATAATTCTCCTCATTCTCCACAAAAGGAGATGGGGCACAGAGGATGCAGACGATGTGCTAGTTTGTGGTAGAGCTGGCTTTTGAGGTCACATCTGTCCATCCCCAAAGCCCATGTTTTATTACACCTCACTCATTTCCTTTCTTTAGACAGACAACCTGCGCATTTAGCAGCCTCAGGGCCTAGGACTTGTGTCTCAGCCTTGAAAAACAGGTCTTACCTAGTACACGGGAATAATAATAATGGCTAAGCTGCAAATGAAAACCTCCCAAATGCCAAATGCTATGCTAATTCTTAATGAGCATTATTTAATGTTGACAACTCTTTGACATGGGAACTGTTATCATCTCTAGTCTATAGAGGAATCTGAAATTAAACTGCCAAGTCATACAGTTGTGACTACTAAGCAGAGACAGGACTTGAGCCACAGCAGAGTATCATGGATGGGGACCCAGGCTCCTAACCAGCACACGCTGCTGCCTATGGTCATAATGTACCTACATGGTGCTGGGAAAGGCTGTTTATGGAGAAGATGGACAGGACCTGTCTCCCTGAGACTTGTCAACAGTGACTCGCTCTAACAAACATCAGTAAAAATAGTGTAGTTATCACTGATGAGCACGCCTTCTCTACCAGAGAGTGCATCCCCAAAGCAGGAGAGACCATGAAAGGGAATGAGTTGGGGAAGGAAGAGCCACACGAGATATGCTAGCTACTGAACTAGCCACCATTGGGAACAACCAATTCCTCCATCTTGCAGGCCCATCCTTTACAAATGCATCTCAGGATGCTTTACCAGGAGGTGGGAGAGGAGTCAGGAAGAAGAATTTACGCCCTGACTCCTACATCCCAATGGGTTAAGAGTTCATCCTGGGGTGAAGTGGGTAGAGAAAACCACCTCCAAGTCTCAAGGTGCCTGACGCTTCAGCTTCAACAGGGAAACTCTAGGGCTTGATGTAAGAGGCTCGCAGCACTGGCTATAGGAGAGACACGGTCAGGTTGAGCCAGCATGCAGCTGGTCAAAATCCATATAGCGTAAATAGCCACAGCCCACTGCAAAGTGAAAATGCAGGGCTCCTTGTTCAAAAATGATAACAAATTTCAAAATGGCTCTGGCAGAGCATTCAACCAAGTGTGGAGCCCTTCAAAGCCAGGGCCCTGTCCAACTGCACTGGCCACATAGCCATGAAGCAGGCTCTACCACATACAGTTGATCACCACAGGGGCAACTGGGGCCAGAACAAAAAGCCCTGAAGACAGGTGGACAGGTGAGGCTGAGAGCACTTGAAGTGGCTTCTGAGATGGACTCAAGGCAAGGCTTGATGAAAGGGTGGGAGGAGACAAACTTAGGGGATAGGGTGGGGCTAGAATGTGCTGGGACTTGGAGAAATTGGTTTCCTTCATGTACACAGATCACCTACAGAAGTTAGCACCTGTGAGAGCGGCCGCTAGGTTGCATGTGTTATGTAAAAGGTTAGCAGTCCAGGTAGTAAGAGTAGAGATTACCAAACGAGAACTAGATTAGCTAGGAAAGGCCTCAGGGAGGCCATTAGATGCTACTTGGAGACAGAAGAAGTGGGAGAAAGAAAGCAGGGGTCATTCCCATTAGTTCTTCCCAAGTACCAGGTAAAATCTGGTGCCCCTGGCTGGTAGCAGACACCTCTGTGTCCATAGAAGTTAACAAGTAAAAGCGTTGCCTGTGTGCAATAGACAAGGGGGATGGCTCTCATTTACAGCTGGGACTGGAATATCTCTAAAGTAAGAGTATCGTTTCCTACTGGAGTACTCTTTCTCCATTATCCAGCTGGGCAAGGCTCTCTTGCCCTCCCACCCCTCCTCCACCTCCACCCACTTGGTAGCAGGTAGCAGCAACCTTATTATGTGATTGTACAAGGACTCAGCCATGGACCACTTGTTCTTTGATTTTTCATGTCAGGCAACTTTTTATCTTTGAAGGGTTGGTTCTCATTATTCATTCTCCTATTTCCAAACTTGGATCAGCCCCTAAGATGTGATAGTCAACATTATCATCCTAATAAGATTCCGAAGTTCCCTCCAGCACGTGTTAGGGTCTTCTGGGCCCACCCAAGCTGTGCTATCTTTAATTCATACCCATCATTCTTGGACGAGGTCCTAATACCCCTTCTCCACATCACAGCTCCTCTGAAGCTCACCCTAGTCTCATGAATGGGAACTAGCTCTCTGTAGTTCAATAAAAGTAGGGCCCTCATATTCAGGGTCAGGCCTTAGCTGTTCCCAAAAGAAGACAGTCACATAGTTCTAATCTCCTCCGTCTCTATAATTCTATAATTTAGATTTAGGTTATATGCAAACTTGGGATCCTGAGGCCCAGTCAAGACCACCAGGTTGCTGTGACAAACTGGACCCTGGAATCATGAGGCAGGTGAGAGAGCCTTGTGGTTCCCAATCCACAGCTCTTCTAGTAGTCAGTGTGCTCTACCTGTGTACACACTCGAGTTTGTCTGGGTGTCCTGCATCATATGCCAATGCTTCTTAAAATCTGGGGCTCACCTCAGACCTTTTATAGGGGCCTCATGTCATTTCCAGTGTTTGTGGGTCTCCTCCTTTCTGGTACCAGACCTGCCTGTCCCACTGTAATAGAATACTCACCACTAATTTCCACCAAAACCGGCGTGGTTCTCATAAGGTCAGCCTCCACCTGTTATCCCCACTGCTCATTGTCGCCCACTGTTTGGCTACTTCAACAAGCCCTACTGCCAAAATTGGGTCTGAGATGGATGCAGACCCTATGCCTGGACTTCCCAGCTGTCTTTTCTGGAGCCAACCTCTGCGGCTGGGCCAATTTCCCCAGCTACTACCATACCTGGCCCCAGCTTGCTCCCCCTGCTTGTAAAGCCTGTGCTGCCAAGACCCCAGCATGCCAATTTCCAAGCCTATCTAAGCACCTTTCTTCCTGGAATACTTTATTAATCATGTCCAACACCAACCACAGAAATCCAGGAGAGAGAGAATTAATGGGAGCAGGAACTCCACCAGCATCGCCAGCTGTGGATGTTATTTGGCTTCATTCATTTATTCATATTTTAAAAATATTTATTGGCCAATCTCCCCATGCCAGACACTAGAAAACAGCAGTAAACAAGAGGGAGAGGTTCTGTCTTCATCCTGCTTGGAATCTAGTAGGTAGAACAGACTTTAAACGGAGTCACACAAGGAAATACACAGCGATTACATTTGTGGCGGATGCTAGCAAAAACTGCATAACCCTGGATCGTAAAACACAGAAGGATCCACTGCTGACTAGCCCTCCATTATCCTCAACTGACATCACAAGGAGATTTAAACTGAAATTCTCCCTAATTCACAAATTCTTCAGCATTATTTCCAATCGTCCTTAACTTTGGTACAGGCATAATTTTATGATTCAAATAAAAATAAAAAGCAAACTACAACCTTCTGATTACTGCCATCAGCTCTAATAATAGCTTTGAGCTCCTTGAAAAGAGGGAGGGGGGAACAGAAGAAAACTCTCTGGATAGATAAATGCCAAGCATTGTTTGATTATTGTAGTTCACATTACAGAGGCAAGGAAAGGAGCCCAGAAGCAGAAGTCAGGCACCTTTGGGATTTCACAGGCTGGAGACCCCATGCATTTTTCTAATTTGAATAGGATAAGCCTCAGAGGCCCTTAATGCAAGATGGGTTTTGAGTGTTTCCAAGCTTCCTGAGAAAGATAAAGCCCGCCTTCTTCATCAGAATTATTCAACTGTGGTGTAACTGCTTAGCAAGGGAATGGGGAGGGCTTGCAGGACTCCTGTAGCTCCTCCTACCCACCCTGAAGACTTGTTTGTGGCTAATACTACCCTGAGCACACCCCACTTTCTTTCTTGGCCTCTCCACATCTTATCTTCCCAAGACCGGCTCCTCATGCCTCAAACTCCACACTGCAGACAACTCCCTTTCCTCAACCCTCCAGCAGAAGCATCTCTTCTCCATTCCCCTACTCATGAATTCCAATTTTCTCAATGAGACCTACTCCTGGTAGAGGCCAGGAAAGCAATCAATCCCAGGAAACTAATTTGAGCTATTGACATACCCCAAGGCTGTTTTCTTTTTGAAAAGGAGTGTTGCCCGAGCTGAGGTCTCAGCTTTGCCACTTATTATGTGTGAACTTAAGCAAGTCTCCTGGCCTTAGTAGCTGCAGGTTACTCATCAGTAAAACAGAGATATTAACAACCATACCATGAGGTAATATAGTCCAGTGGCTAAAAGTCTAGCTTCCCAAGTTTGAATCCCAGCTCTGCCACTCCCTAGCTGTGAGATCTCAGGAAGATTACTAAAACTCTTCCTACCTTAATTTCCTCATAAGTAAAATGAGGATAGAAATAATATCTACTTCAGAGAGTTTTATGAGGACTTAATGATACGTAAATATATAAAGCTCTTGGGCAAGTGCTTATGCTTTAAGCACTATACACGGGTTTGCTATTCATAATAATGGTATTATTATTACATGCACTGAAGGATGAATGTGCTAACCAAACATGGGAACAGATGGGACAATGCTCTTTGTACTCCAAGGGCAGTACTTACTTCAAGAGAGATCTCAGAACCTCAGTTCAGTGTATGGATGTCCTAGGAGGAAAGGAGCAAGACAACTGAAAGAAAAAAAATTGTAGTCAGAGACAGATCAGTAGAGGTCAGAGATGGAACTGACTCTACACTTCTTGAGGGCAGGACTGTGTCTATGCTATGGTCTAATGTTTGTGTCCCCTTCCCCAAATTCATATGTTGAAATCTTAACCCCCAAGGTGATGATATTAGGAGATGGGGTTTGGGGGAGGTGATTAGGTCATGAGAGTAGAGCCCTCATGAACAGGATTAGTGTCCTCATAAGAGACCTTGCCCCTTCTACCCTGTGAGGACATAGCTAGAAGGCACTATCTATAAACCAGAAAGCAGGCCTTCACCAGACATTGAATCTGTTGGTGCCATGATCTTGGACTTGCCAGTCTCTGAAACTGTGAGAAAAAAATATTGTTGTTTATAAGTCAACTGGTCTAGGGCATTCTATTGTAACAGCTTGAATAGACTAAGACAGTCTATTTTTACCTCTATTCAATCCACAAAGCCCAGGGTAGGGCCTGGCATATAGTTAATAGATATGGAAGGAAGGAAGGGAAAGAAGAAGAGAAAGTAACAAAGAGGGAAGGAGGGAGGAAAGGGAGGGAGAGGGAGGGAGGGAGAGGAGGAGGGAGGGAGGGAGAGGAGGAGGGAAGGATGGAGGGAGGGAGTCATCATTCATGATTTAGTGATGGGAGTGGGCAGTTGAAGAAGGCAGATCACTGGATTTGAGAAAGCCAGTGAAGTAAGAGAAGAAAGTACTTGTGAAAGGAAAATAAATCTTGGGGCCCAAAATCACTAAGCTAAAGGGAAAAGTTAAGCTGGAACCTGCTGGGGCAAACCTTCCTTCCATTCTATTCAAAGTCACCCTTCTGCTCACTGAGATTAATGCATAACTGATTGCCTCTTTTGGAAAAGTTAACCAGAAACTCAAGAAAATGCAACCACTTGTCTCTTATCCACCTATGACCTGGAAGCCCCCTCCCCACTTCCAGTTGTCCTGCCTTTTCTGGACCAAACCAATGATCATCTTACATATGTTGATTGATGTCTCCTGTTTCCCTAAAATGTATAAAGCTAAATGTGCTCTGACCACATTGAGTACATGTCATCAGGACCTCCTGAGGCTATGTCATGGGCGCACGTCCTCAACTTGGGCAAAATAAACTTTTTAATTAACTGAGATCTGTCTCAGATTTGGGGGGTTCACAGACTGGACAGGCCTGCCTCACAGGCATCAAAGTCCTTCAAGATAATGGTAGGACTGAATCTGGCAAGGAAGCCCATGAGTCAGGAGCTTCAGGAATGTGGAGGAGGACCCAGGAGGTTGAGAAAACTCAGCCAGGAGAAGAGACAGAGGGTGGTGGAGCCACCGAGAGGCATGAGCCTCAGAAAGGCTATTACACAAGGATGTAGGAGTAAAGATAGAGCACATGCAGCCAGGAGAATGTTGTCTAGCACATGGTGAAACGCGCAGCTCCCCACAGTGAGGGCAGGTGAAGTGGTATCTTTAGAGGAAGGCAGCCCTCAGCAAAGAGCAGAAAAGCAGAGAGAACAGTCAGGGAAGCAGGATGTACTTCCGGTGTAACAGTCAGTACAGGACAGTCACAAGTTATATTTGTGAGCACATAAGCTCACTTCAGTTTTATACTGCCTATAATTTATTTTAACAAGCCTCTTATCCCAGCTGACAGTAAGAAAATTATATTTAGCCCAATGCAGTTCACACAGTCCTGTCTAGTAATTTCTCCAGTCACTTCTGTTTTAAGACTTAGTCACATCTCAGATAAACATTCAATCTAATGCAAGTATTATTATTATTATTATCAGTTATTAGAACATAAGCTGCAAGAGGGCAAGGATAAACTGATTTGATTTACCACTGTATTCACAGCACCTAGAAGGGTTCCTGGCTCATAGTAGGTGCTCAATAAATATTTTTTAAATGGATGACTGTCTGGTTCAAAGCCTGTCGTTGGATACACACTCTGTTCTCAAGCAATAGGGACCTTCATGCTGCCCACTGCACCACAGCAAGGAGTGTATGACTTGACCTGGGCACATTAGCTGCTGCATCTGTGGCGGCATATTCCACGGCCTCTGGGCCCTCAGGAGGGACTTCCATGCAGCTTGCTGGCCTGGGTAATCAAACCACGGGAATGCCCTTCCTTTCCTGGAGATGCTAGTCTTGACTCCACCAGGAAGTATGGTGGCATGGTGAGCCAGCCCTGTCCCTACTAAATTCTATGGCTCATCCAGGCCCTTACAGATTATCGTATCAGTTATCTCTTGCCACAACAGTGTTGCATAACAAACTACCCCCGAACTCAGTGGCTTACAATAACAAGCATTTACTATTCAATTCTGCAAGCCAACTAGGTGGCCTTGCCTCAGGTTGCAGGTCTGCTAGGTGGCTGCTGTGGTTGTGGCTCATGTGTCTTTCACTTTCCTGGAAAGGCAGGCTCTCCAGCCAACCCAGCCCTTCTCTAGGCAAAGGCAGAAGGAGTGAGTGAAAACACACACATGCACATGCACCTGTGCACACGGACACCTGCACGCACACGATGCTTCTCCAAGCTCAGGACTCAGCCCGTTACCCTCACCCACATCCCATTGGCTAAAGCAAATCACATGGCCTTGCCCACATCAATGGGATATGGGAAGAGACCCCACCTCTAGCAGAAATAACCCCAAAGTCCCCCCCGCAAAGGGCGTGGATATAGAAGAGATGAAATATTGGACACAATTGTGCGGCCGACTGCAGCAACCCTGCCAGTCCAACTGGTGGGAACTCAGGCGTCCCTGGGCACTGACCTCTCTCTCCACCACCCTCTCCACGGCTATTGCATCCCACTCCTTCAGGATGTCTGTGTGAGCCACCAGCTTGCATTTAGGATCCTGGCAGGAAGCAGACACTCCGGCCAGCTTTGGAATGTCCACTGTTCATGGGGAAGCACAAGGCCCCCAACCCCTTTCCCGTCAAAGCAGGAGGGGGTAGCATGGCCTCCCTCAAACAGCATCCCCTCTCTGCCTGCAAGATTGCTTCACTTGTGCTCTGAGGAAATGAGACAGAACCTGCCATTCTGGGTTTCCTGGTGACTTTTATCTGATGCTCCACAGGGTCTCCCTTGAGGTTTGTCTTGGGGAAACTGGCATCTTCATTGTTGGTGACCTGGGTAAAAATGGAGAAAAAAATACAACTCAGAGTTCAAATTATTGTCACACTTCTTTACCCTAGGTTTCAGAGAAGAAAGAGAAAGGATTGAGGATGGCAAAGAAAGCACAGAGATGAAAAACCGGGAGGGGAAGAAATACTCTCTCACAGTGTTTAAAGGAGAGTTAAATAAGAAAATGTGGGTATTCAGTAAATATTTGTTTGATACTCTTAAACGTTTAATTTGTTCTCCCTCCACTAAAAAGAGCTCTGGCCAAAAACACCACCGGGCAACTTCAGAGAAAAATAGCAGCAGCAGTGAGTGTGGTCTGAGAATGATAACTTGCCAGTAGATAGGGGGAGTTTAGCCAAAGGAAAAAAATAGTGTTATTTATCTTAGACTTCTATAAGCACCAAGCTGGCCCAGGCACAATTTTTCAAATGACATACACACACACACACACACACGCACACACACACCCCACATAAACAAACCCTATTATTATCCAAAGCAAATAAATGTACTAAGCAGATTTCTCACTGAAAGGAAATGGCATGAAATGAAGAAAAAGCAATAATTCCTAGAAATTTTGGTTAATAAAAGCACAAAGCTGGCTAACTTTTGGTCTTTAATGTCTATATCAAAATTATGATAAATTGTACCCATTAGGTGGGCTGTAGGTATAAACAGTGCTTTATCTACCATATAAAAAGATAAAATCCTAACCCACAAGCAGCATTTCCTACTACTAGAACCCAAGCCCACTCCATCAGTCACAGAGTTCTGGGAAGAGAATATCTGAAGAAACTGGAATGTCACGTGCCTCATGCTCAAAGTGAGTGTAAGCACTGGGATGTCTAGAGCATTTCAGGAAATGGAAACAGCTATGCAAAGGCTGAGGTCTGAGTGACACAGAACAGTCAGGAAACCAAAAGGCCAGTATGCCTGGAATACTGACAATGAGATGGTTAGTGCCAGGAGGTGCAACTGGGGAAACATCAATGGCTGGACCACACCGTGCCTTGGAGGATACATCACTTACTACTTGATTGATGCCACCATCTTTCAGCTCATTTTGGCTCATCTGCAAAGCAGATGTGATCGGCATACACAGAGCCCAATAAAAAATGAGATCTTTCCCAATTCATGTTGCTAGACTCCCCTCCTTTTGCTTTCTTTACTTACATCCTAAGCATTCTCTAAAGCAATGCTCTGAAAAAAATATTTACCACAATCGGTTGGCCATGAAATAGATTCTTAACAAAAGCACAGATCTCTTCTCTCAATCCTGTTGGACAGCTGAGGGATTAAGGTCTATCTCAAAGACTAGCTTTTCACCAAATTTGTTTTCCTTATATCCTAGGACCACAGCTAGACTATATTTCTCAGCCTCCTATAGAGTTAGTTGGAGTGATGTGACTGAGTACTGCCAATGGAATGCAGGCAGAAGTGATGTATGTCCCATCCAGGCCTAGCCCATAAAAACTTCTCTCCATCCCCCTGTCTGCTGGGTGGACATCAGTATCTGGAGACACCTTGGAAGCCAGCTACTGAACATGAAAAAACCACCATCAGCCTGGGTCCCTGAATGACTGAGTGGAGCAGGTCTCATTCCTATCCATGCCCTACCTTTGATTAGATTTCATATGAGGATGAAATAAACTTCTATTGCATAAATCATTGAGCTTTTGGAGTGTACATATTACACCAACTAATGGTACCTTAACTATATCTGGAATTTGACCTTTTTCCTCAAGAACAGTTTGGGTTAACTTTTGTCCATTTGGAATTACAGAAAGCAAGACTCATGGTCTTCAAAATCCTCTCTTGAAGACAAGGTAATGCACTACGCTTGTTGGAACAGCAGAAGCATAGTCATGCAAGCTGGAATCATGGCAATCTTGCTGTCCATTCTGGAATCTGCAGTTAAAGCATACCTTGGAGATACTGCAGATTCAGTTCCAGGCCACTGCAAAAAGGCAAATATAATAAAGTGAGTTACACATTTTTTTTTGTTTCCCAGTGCATATAAAATTTATGTTTACACTATACTGTAGTCTATTAGATGTGCAATAGCATCTGAAAAAACAACATACATACCTTAATTTAAAAATACTTTATTGCATGACAAAGATCTAATATCCAGAATCAGAAAAGGACTTAAAAAAATTTACAAAAAAAAAACAAAAAGAATCCCATCAAAAAGTGGGCAAAGGATATGAACAGACACTTCTCAAAAGACATTTATGCAGCCAAGAAACATGAAAAAAGCTCAACATCACTGAAAATTAGAGAAAAGCAAATCAAAACCACAATGAGATACCATCTCATGCCAGTCAGAATGATGATTATTAAAAAGTCAAAAAACAATAAATGCTGGTGAAGCTATGGGGAAATAGAAATGCTTTTACACTGTTGGTGGGAATTTAAATTAGTTCAATCATTGTGGAAGACAGTGTGTCAATTCCACAAGGATCTAAAACGAGAAATACCATTTGACCCAGCAATCCCATTACTGGGTATATACCCCAACAATATAAATCATTCTACTATAAAGACACATGAACAGGTATGTTTATTGCAGCACTATTTACAATAGCAAAGACATGGAATCAACCCAAATGCCCATCAAGAACAGACTGAAAAAAGAAAATGTGGCACATAAACACCATGGAATACTATACAGCCATGAAAAGGAATGAGATTATACTTTTTGCAGTGACATGGATGAAACTGGAAGCCATCACCCTCAGCAAACTAACCCAGGAACAGAAAACCAAACACCATATGTTCTCACTCATAAGTGGGGAGCTGAACAATGAGAACACATGGACACAGGGAAGGGAGAAACACACACCGGGGCCTGTGGGGGGTCGGGGGCAAGGGGAGGGAACCTAGATGACAGGTTAATAGGTGCAGCAAACCACCATGGCGCACGTATACCTATGTAACAAACCTGCACATTCCACACATGTATCCCAGAACTCAAAGTAAAATTTTAAAAAATAAAAAAAGAACAGCCAGAAACTGAAAATTACAACCTAATATGAAACAATGATTGGCACAGAACTGTGTTTTTGCTTAGAGAAGAGTAAACAAGTAGAGTGGAAGCGTCTGAAGACAAACCTGAATAAATATGGGGAAGATATGGCAGTGGTGGTATTTCAGATTGGTGGGGAAAGACATAGGTTGTTCAATAAATTGTGTTTCAGAAAGAAAAAAAAATACTTCATTGTAAAAACTGCTAATGAGGCTTCAGAGAGTCATTATCTTTTTGCTGGTGGAGGGTCTTGCCTTGATATTGATGCCTGCTGACTGATCAGGATGGTGGTTGCTGAAGGCTGGGGTGGCTGTGGCAATTTCTTAAAATAAGACAACAATAAAGTTTGTCATATCAATTGACTTTTTTTTTTTTTTAAACAAAAGAGCTCTCTGTAGCATGAGATGCTGTTTGATAGCATTTTACTCACAAGAGAACTTTCAAAACTAGAGTCAATCCTCTCAAATCCTGCCACTGCTTTGACTAAGTTTATACAATATTCTAAGTCACTGTTGTCAACTCAATGATGTTCACAGCGTCTTCACCAGGAGTGCATTCCGTCTCAAGAAACCACTTTCTTTGCTCGTCCATAGGAAGCAACTCCACATCCTTAAGGATTTGTCATGAGATTAAAATGTTTCAGTCACATCTTCAGGCTCCACTTCTAATTCTATTCTCCTACTATTTCCAACACATCCACAGTTACTTCTTCCACCGAAGTCTTGAAACTCTCAAAGTCATCCATGAGGCTTGGAATCAAGTTCTTCCACATTCCTGTTAACATCGATATTTTGACCTCCTCCCATGAATCATGAATGTTTTTTAAAAATGGTGAATCCTTTCCAGAAAGTTTTCAATTTACTTTGCCAAGATCCATCAGAGGAATTGCTGTCTATAGCAACCAGAGCCTTAGAAAATGCATTTTTTAAATAATAAGACTTTAAAGTCAGAATTACTTTCTGATCTATAGGCTGCAGAATGGATGTTGTGTTAGCAGGCATGAAAACAACATTCATCCCCTTACGAGTCTCCATCAGAGCTCTTGGGTGATGAGGTGCACTGTTAATGACCAGTAATATTTTGAAAAGAATCTTTTTTTTCTGAGCATCAGGTCTCAAGAGTGGGCTTAAAATATTCATAAACCATGCTGTAAACAGATGTGCTATCATCCAGGCCTTGTTGTTCTATTTCTAGAGCACAGAAATAGTAGATTTAGCATAATTCTTAAGGGTCCTAGGATTTTCAGAATGGCAAATGAGCGTTGGCTTTAAAGTCACCAGCTGCATTAGCCCCTAACTAGAGAATCAGCCTGTCCTTTGAAGATTTGAAACCAAGCATTGACTTCTTCTCTCTAGCTATGAAAGCTCTAGATGGCATCTTCTTCCAATAGAAGGCTGTTTCATCTACTGTACATGGAAAATCTATTGTTTAGTTGGCTGCCTTAATTGTCTTAGCTAGATCTTCTGGGTAACTTGCTACAGCTTCTACATCAGCACTAGCCTTACAATTTGATGTTATGCATACAGCTTCTTTCCTTAAACTGCATGAACCCACCTCTGCTAGCTCCAAACTTTTCTGCAGCTTCCTAACTTCTCTGAACCCTCATAGCATTGAAGAGTTAGAGTCTAGCTACAGATTAGGCTTTGGCTTAAGGGAATGCTGTGGCTAAGACTGATCTGTCCAAACCACTCAAACTTTCTCTGTATTAGCAATAAGGCTGTTTTGCTTTCTTATCATTCATGCGCTTACTAGAGTAGCACTTTTAATTTTTTTCAAGAACTTTTCCTTTGCACTCACAACTTTGCTAACTTTGGTGCAAGAGGCCTAGCTTTCAGCGAGTCTCAGCTTTCTCCATGCCTTACTCACTGCACATAATCATTTCTAGCTTTTGATTTAAAGTGAGAGGCATGTGAGTCTTCCTTTTACTTGAGGCCAATGTAGGGTTATTAATTGGCCTGATTTCAATATTGCTATGTCCTAGGGAGTAGCGAGGCCCAAAAAGAGGGAGAGAGATGGGTAATGGCCAATTGGCAGAGCAGTCAGAACACACACAACATTTACCGTTAAGGTCTGCCATATTATATGGGCATGGTTCAAGGTATTCTAAAATAATAATAATAGTAACATCAAAGACCACTGATCACAGATTACCACAACAGATATAACAATAATGAGAACATTTGAAATATTGTAAGAATTATCAAAATGTGACAAAGAGACATACAGTGAGCATGTGCAGTTGGAAAAATGGCACAGATAGACTTGCTCAATGCAGGGTTGCCACAAACCTTAAATTCGTAAAAAAGACAATATCTGCAACATGCAGTAAAGCAAAGCACAATAAAATGAGGTAGGCCTGTATATTTTTATCATCCATCACCGCACAGTTATTCCTTACCTACTGCACCATCTAAGGAAACAGGGCAGTGACAGGCTCTATTGCTCAGGGTACACTCAGACATTAGACTTCCATGTGACTTCTTTTAAAAGGTTTTTCTTCAGGGTCCATGTAAAGACCCTGCAGACCTAGGAGCTGCCACCTGTCAATCATTGGTATTCTGGGAGTGTCCTGTAATTGTCTTTCCAATTACTGATATGCAGGGACAGTGGCCACCAAACCATAGGTCAGCAGAAGTCTGGGATTGTTTTTTCCTGGCATTAGTCACTTTTCCATTTGGAAACTTCCATTACCTAGGGAGGAGACGGGAAAAAGTACAATATTTAGGAAATCTATGCCTCTCTCAGATTAACCGGCCACTGATCTATCACTGGTTCTGGGTATTGAAATGCTCCGTTAATTACAAGAGTCCTCTTACTAGGGAAAATGGTGGGTGCATGTCTATGATGGTTGGACAGGGAAAAGTCAAGCTGCATCTGTGCCTATGCAGTGTATATATCCACGTGTGTGTGTGTGTGTGTGCGCGCGTGCGCATGCGAGAGAGAAAGGAACACATGTGTGTGCATGCTGAAATAAACCTCTGTGGGAGTTACAGTTCTAACATTTGGACTTGGCAATAGCAAAGCCTTAAGTGTTTAGTAAAACCTTCCATATTCTTATAACTCAGAAGAAAGGAGGGCAGTGATAACGATAAGGTAAATTGTTGAAGGCCCTACATAAAGATGGAGTGAGCTATTGAAAGTTCTTTGAAAGGAAGCTGAACAATACAGGAAGCATGCATGGCTTCCAGGTCAGACAGCCCTGGGTTTAAATCTTGGCTGCACCACGTAATCTGGGCAAGTTACCTATCCTTTCCAAGATGGAATTTTCGTATATGTTAGATGAGAATAACAGTAGCTATTGCCTGGCTGTTGAGCCTACTAAACGGGATCATGTTAAAAACTCTTAAAAGACTGAGTATAGAAGAAATATACCTCAACATAATAAAAGCCATATACGACACACCCACAGCTAGTATCATACTGAATGGAAAAAAACTGAAAACTTTCCCTCTAATATCTGGAACACGACAAGAACGCCCACTTTCGCCACTGTTATTCAACATAGCACTGGAAGTCCTAGGTAGAGCAGTAAGAGCAGAGAAAGAAATAAAGGGCATCCAAATTGGAAAGGGAGAAGTCAAATTATGCTTGTTTGCAGATGACGTAATCTCACTTTTGGAAAAACCTAAAGATTCTACAAGAAAAGTATTAGAACTGACAAACAAATTTAGTTAAGTTGCAGGATACAAAATCAACGTATGAAAACCAGCAGCATTTCTAAATGTCAACAGTGAACAATCTGAGAAAGAGATTTTAAAAGTCATCCCATTTACAACAGCCACAAATAAAATTAAATACCTAGGAATTAACCAAAAAAGTGGAAGATCTCTATAATGAAAACTACAAAACACTGATGAAATAAATTGAAGAAGACACCCAACAAATGGAAAGATAGTCCATATTCATAGATTAGAAGAATCAATATTGTTAAAATAAAATGTCCATACTACCCAAAGCAATCTACAGATTCAATGCAATCCCTATCAAAACACCATTGGCATTCTTCTCAGAAATAGAAAAAACAATCCTAAAATTTACATGCAACCACAAAAGTCCCAAAATAAACGAAACTAACCTAAGCAAAAAGAACAAACCTGAAGGGATCACATCACCTGACTTTAAATTATATTGCAGATATATAGTGACCAAAACATCATGATACTAGCATAAAAACAGACACATAGACCAATGGAATAGAATAGAGAACCTAGAAACAAATCCACACACCTACAGTAATCTTTTTGACAATAGTGCCAAGAACATACACTGAGGAAGTCAATCTCTTCAATAAATGGTGCTGGAAAAACTGGATATCCCCGTGCAGAAGAATGAAGCTAGACTCTTATCTCTCACTACGTACAAAAATCAAATCAAAGTGTATTAAAGACTTAAATCTAAAACCTCAAACTATGAAACTACTACAAGAAAACATCAGGCCGGGCGCAGTGGCTCATGCCTGTAATCCCAGCACTTTGGGAGGCCAAGGCGGGTGGATCACTTGAGGTCAGGAGTTCGAGACCAGCCTGGACAACATGGTGAAACTCTGTCTCCACTAAAAAATACAAAAAGTTAGCCAGGAGTGGTGATGGGTGCCTGTAATCGCAGCTACTTGGGAAGCTGAGGCAGGAGAATTACTTGAACCCAGGAGGCAGAGGTTGCAGTGAGCCGAGATCATGCCATTGCACTCCAGCCTCGGTGACAAAGTGAGCCTCTGTCTTTAAACAAACAAACAAACAAAAAAGAATTAATTAAATTAGTTAATTTAATTAAATTAATTAGTTAATTAAATTAGTTAATTTAATTAATTAGTTGATTTAGTTAAATTAATTAGTTAATTAATTTTATTAAAAGAAAACACCAGCGAAACTCTCCAGGACATTGGTCTGGGCAAAAATTTCTTGAATCATACCTCACGAGCACACACAACCAAAGCAAAAATGGACAAATGGGATCACATCAAGTTTAAAAGCTTTTGCACAACAAAGGAAACAATCAACAAAGTAAAGAGACAACCCACAGAATGGGAGAAAATATTTGCAAACTATCCATCTGACAAGGGATAACCAGAATATATTAGGAACTCAAACAACTCTATAGGAAAACCTCTAATAATTCAATTAAAAATGGGCAAAAGATTTGAATAAACATTTCTCAAAAGAAGACATACAAATGGCAAACAGGCATATGAAAAAGTGTTCAACATCACTGATCATCAAAGAAATGCAAATCAAAACTACAATGAGATATCATCTCACCCTGATTAAAATGGCTTACATCCAAAAGACAGGCAATAACAAATGTTGGTGAGGATGCGGAGAAAAGGGAACTCCCATACACTGTTGATGGGATATAAATTAATACAACCACTATGGAGAACAGTTTGGAGATTCCTCAAAAAAGTAAAACTAGAGATACCATATGATCCAGCAATCCCACTGCTGGGTATATACCTAAAAGAAAGGAAATCCAACCCAAATGTCTGTCAATAATAGACTGGATAAAGAAAATATGGCACATATACATCATGGAACACTGTGCAGCCATAAAAAAGGATGAGTTCATGTCCTTTGCAGGGACATGGATGAAGCTGGAAACCATCATTCTCAGCAAACTATCACAAGGACAGAAAACCAAACACCACATGTTCTCACTCATGAGTGAGAGTTGAACAATGAGAACACATGGATACAGGGAGGGGAACATCACACACCGGGGCCTGTCGGCGGGTAGGGGGCTGAGGGAGGGATAGCATCAGGAGAAATATCTAATGTAAATGCTGAGTTGAGTGCAGCAAACCAACATGGCACATGTATACCTGTGTAACAAACCTGCATGTTGTACACATGTACCCTAGAACTTAAAGTATAACAAAAAAAAAAAAGAAGAAGAAGAAAGAAAAATGGGAGGGTAGGAGGGGTGTGGGGGATTAAATACTACCTATTAGGTACAATCTACATTATATGGGTGATGGCTACACTAAAAGCCCAGACTTCACCACTACCCAATAGGTGCATGTAACACCACTGCACTTGTACCCGAAATCTATAACAATTTTACAAAATTTGAAAAGTTTTAAAAATAAAAATGTGTATATTTGTCCAAAAAAAAAAAGAAAGAAAGGAAATCTGTATACTGAAGAGATATCTGCACTCCCGTGTCTGTTGCAGCACTGTTCACAACAGCCAAAATTTGGAAGCAATCTAAGTGTCCATCAAGAGATGAAGGGATAAAGAAAATATGGTACATATACACAATGGAGTACTATTCCGCCATAAAAAAAGAATGAAATCCTGTCATTTGCAACAACATGGTCATTAGGTTGAGTGAAATAAGGCACAGAAAGACAAACATCACACGTTCTCATGTATTTGTGGAATCTAAAAGTCAAAACAATTGAACCCATGGAGATAGAGAGTAGGAGGACGGTTACCAGAGGCTGGGAAGGGTAGTAAGAGGGTTAGAGTAACTTGGGGATAATGGGTACAAAAAAATAACAATTAGAAAGAATGAATAAGACCTACTATTTGATAGCACAACATGGTGACTATAGTTAATAATAATTTGATTGCACATTTTAAAATAACTAAGAGAGTGTAATTGGATTGTTTGTAACACAAAGGATGAATGTTTGAGGGGATGGATACCCCATTTTACATGATGTGATTACTACTCTTTGCATGCCTGTATCAAGACATCTCAGGTACCCCATAAATATATATGCCTACTATGTACCCACAGAAATTTTAAATCCCTGGCACAGAGTAAATATCCAAAAAATGGTCACTATTATGGCCTTAGAGTCAATGGATGCCCTTTGGTCTATTTACCATCTCATTATTTCATAATGTGTGATTTGCATCCTTGTTTTGTTTTTTGATTCAGCCAGCTACCTCAGTGCAGGTAGCTGGTTTCCTACACACTTCCCATACTTCTCAGGACCTTGAGTTCACACAGAAAACCTCTAGAGCTGTGCTATCCAGTATGGCAGCTGCTAGTCTCATGTGGCTATTTAATTATAAATTTAAATGAACGAAGATACAATAAAATTAGAAACTGAGCTCCTCAATTGCACTAGCCATGGTTAAAGCTCTCAGTAACCTCATGTGGCCAGTAGCCACTGTATTGGATAGCACAGATAGAGAGAGCATTTCCCCCATCATGGAAAGCTCTATTAGACAGCACTGGGCTAAAAAGGATGATATAGAACTATGAGCTATTTTCCAGTATTTCCAAAGGCCTAATGAAAACTCTATATTTACTCACAATGAGACTGCCCAGGTTAGCTAAAATACCCAGGGGACTACTTTCGGCTGGAACTATAACAGGCTGTGCTTTGAGAACTCTGGTTCATATCCTCCATGGCCAATGATCAAATAGGTGGGCTGGGAACAAGCCAGGGCCCTAGGCCCTGCGTCTGGACCTGCTGTGCAGCAGGCACAGCAGCTAGCGGGCAGTGGGCAGGACCTCTGGCTGCAATCCCAGCCCCTAGTATGTTTGTGGTAGAAAGTGTGGAGGAGTCAGGAGCTATAAAGCCCAAGTATGGCAAAGCCAAAGAGGTAAGAGGGAGATATGGTAACTGGGGACCAAACCAGGTGTCAAGGACGTGGGAGGGAAGGCAGCACCGGACCCAAGCGGAAGCTGGAACTTGTGAGCGTGAAGATGACCGTGGAAGAGCAGCTCAGCTTCCTGAC